GCCAATCCAGGTGGTCAATCTTCTTTTCTCGGTTCAACTTAATCATCTCCTACAGACCCGGATCCAAGAACGTGAAGCCCGATTCTCTCTCTCGTCTCTACTCCGTCGATCATCCCGAGACACCTGAACCAATCCTTCCGGCTTCATTTACAGTTGGAGTGGTCAACTGGGAAATAACTGATCTCATGAACTCAGCCCTGGCCACTGAACCCGATCCAGGTAACGGCCCGTCTAATCGTTCATATGTTCCATCTTCTGTCAGGTCCCGTCTTATCCAGTGGATGCATGCCGCCAAATTCTCCGCTCATCCTGGAGTCAGCAGAACAGTAGCTCTCATCTCCAGACGCTTCTGGTGGCCCACTCTCCACAGGGACGTGAAGGAGTATGTGTTGGCTTGCCCCACATGTGCCCGTAACAAAGCCACCAACCTCCTTCTGGCCTGCTTCAACCGCTTCCTGTTCCCTCGCGTCCCTGGTCCCATATCGCCATCGATTTCATCACCGGTCTCCCTGTCTCTCGAGGTATGTCCACCATATTCACTATTGTTGACCGCTTCTCGAAGTCCTGCCATCTTATTCCCCTCAGAAAACTTCCCACGGCCTTCCAGACTGCCCAGCTTCTCATTAAGCATGTTTTTCGGTTACACGGCATTCCCCAAGAGATCCTCTCGGACAGAGGCCCGCAGTTCATCTCCTAGGTCTGGAAGGCATTCTGTTCCGCTCTCAGCTGCAAACCCTCTCTCACCTCTGGTTACCACCCCCAATCGAATGGTCAGACCGAACGCATGAATCAGCAATTGGAAACCACCCTTCGCTGCCTTACGTCTAACAACCCCGTGGATTGGAGCCAATTTCTGCCATGGATAGAATACGCCCATAACTCCCTCAGATCTGCATCCACTGGACAATCCCCATTCCAGGTGAGTCTCGGCTATCAACCACCTCTTTTCCCCGCAGACGAGAGAGAGATTTCGGTGCAGTCCGTCAACCATCACATCCGCCGTTGCCAAAGGATCTGGAGGGAAACCATCGCCACTCTCAACCAGTCATCAGAAGCGACTAAGCGCTTCGCCGACGCCCGGAGACGTCCCGCCCCTGAGTATGCCGTAGGTCAGGAGGTATGGCTGTCCACTCGAGACATCCCCCTCAAGGGGATGTCTCGAAAACTCTCCCCGAGATTCATAGGACCCTTCAAAATCTCTCGAGTCATCAACCCTTCAGCTGTTGGGTTGCAGTACCTCGTCGACTGGGAGGGTTACGGACCGGAGGATCGCCAGTGGGTTCCAGGCTCGTACATCCTCGATCCAGCCCTCATCGAGGAGTACGAGCGTTCCTGCCCATCAACCTCTTCCGGACCGCCAAGGGGCGGTCGTTGAGGGGGGGGTACTGTTGGGAGCTGGAGAAATTCCACCTTTCTCCAGCAGAGTCCGCCGTGGATCCTCTGAGGGAGCCTCCTGCACAGCTGCAGCTCGTCAAGATCATCAGAGGATCCACTACTTAAGCTGTCTTCAGACCTTGCCTCAACGCCGCAGTGTTGTTCCAGTTGGTCAGCGCTTAAGCCTAGATCCTCAGAGTAATTCGATGACTTTTGAATGCAGCTTGGATTCTAACCCCTGTGTCTGTTTTCCAGGAAACCTGTGCCTCCTCTGTGAAAGCTCTGGAAGAGCTAACCTGCCGAACCGACCCTCAGAGCCAAACCTGAAGATTCACAGAGAACCTCCAAGCAGCTCTGGACTAGAGCTGGGGAACCCAAAGCCAAGGTCTGTTCTAATTAGACGTGAGACACTGAAGCAGCTAACGGACTCTGCTGATGAACTCTTCTCCAGAACCAACAGTGACTCTCCCAAAGCTAACCTCAAGAACCCTCAAGGTATAATCAGTAAACTTCAGAGAATCAAACCTCTGTCGACAACGCTAACTGAACTGTCTCTCACGCAGACTCCGGTGAACCAGAATCCAGGCCCTGAACCTGAACCATTATATCCTGTGTGCTTGTGCATAAATAAACTGTTAAACTTTCATCCTTGTGTCCGTCAGTGGTGTTCTGCATTCTTGGGTCGCTTTCAGTGAACCCATCATGACAACGTCATTTTACCTCATCTTTTTCATGTACAATGGGTTTTAAATAGACACAACGTTTCTAAACAAGAAACTCTTGACAACGCTAACCACGCTTATTTTTACAACCTTTTAGATGTAGGAATCTGAATCTGGCATCTTATTTACTTTTCTACAGACTCATTGGGACAAGCTGATCAAATAGAATTTGTTATAATGTTTAAAAACTATTCCATGAACCACTTATAAACTGCTATTATAAAGGGGAAAATATGAAACAACAGTATTTCTGTATGGATTTACATATAAATATGATATAAATAGCTACAGATCAAGAGAGTTGCCTGCTTCAAAATTGTTTTCTGTTAGGAGGAAAGATTCATGACAGACGAGCAATTTGATATAAGAAGAGCCACATTTGGACAAGTGAAGGGTAGCCTTCCAAATTCTAAGTTTTAAGCAGGTTCTGACAGTGGAGACAACAAAAAAGAAAACATTATCATGAAATAATTTTTTGTTTTAGGTCATATGTTTGATTTTTATTATACTTAAAAAAACTTTCGGAATAATATTTGAAATCCAAAAATTTATATTATATTCATGCCGAAATATTGTCTGTTTAAATAAATGAAATGAAGGAAATCTAAACTCCATGACCTGCTGTACTGCTTTGGGCTCCTGAAAGAATAATAAAACTGCATCTCCCAAAAATCCTATGTTACCCAGAAAGGTACCAGAGCATATTATAAAACAGCAAGGAAAGTTAACAAAAAAATACAACTAAATTATTTCCATGACCTCACAGATGAATAACACATTAACAATCTCTATGTTTTATGTAGATGAGAAGAAAGTAAATTTAAAGACTTATATTAGCCTTCTTAGATCCTGAAACAACAGTAATATATATCTGTGATAAATTGTCTATCTACTGAAGAACTGAAGTGTTTTATAATCAGAATTGATGCTATCTCTAAGGTAAGTGAAAGCATTTCTGCCTGAAGCTTTAGCAAAAGCAAAGATTTGCTGCACTGATACAAGTGAGCTCCTTTTCATGAAACAATGCAGATCTAATCCAGTATGTAGGTAGCATGTGTTGAAGACACAGTTGACTTGCCTGTGGCCCTTGTATGTTGCATAACCAGACAGCTGACACAGTACAAAAATTGTCTGAGTAATGTAGTTGCAAAGTCATGTGTAAAAAAATACATTCACACACTTTTCCACTTCTTTATGCAAGCAAAAACTGAATACAGACTGTCTCTTTTTGGCCATATCATGTTTATTCTCATGAAAACACAGAAAATAGATGATATTTATGGAAATTACGATGATATTTCCATATCAATGAATGTATTGTTCAACAAATGACAAATAACATACATATAATAAGGTGCTTAAAAGGTCACAGTGGAAAAAAAGACACTAAGTAGACATATATTCCTGTAAAACAGCAATGATTTGAAAGTGAGATTTAATCATTAGAAATATTGTTTTCTTCCAAAATGTGATAGTTTGATATCATTACATTATTATGTCGAAATCACAGAACTTGCATGCCTAAAAAGTACCCTGTATTTCTTATAATGAATTATTTAACAGAGGAGGAGTAATCCTTGATTTATGCCTGTAAGCTTAGTGTTTTCTAATGAAAAGTAGGCTACTAAGGAAAGAGTAAGTCGTCCCCAGCATGCGATTCTGGTATAAAGCTTCCATGCCCTTGTCACTGACAAGGATGTCATTAGTTTTGGACTTTAATTGGCTTCATCCAACCATTCCTCCATTCCTTGAGTTGAATAATTATACAACTTTAAAGATCTGTAAAAGAACAATGAGTAGTTATGTGCGCCTCCATCCTCTTATAGTCCAAATATTTCATAGAGGCTCATCATTTGTCTACATCTATACATTCACACTTACTAACATTTGGTTAATTTTTCATTCTCAAGTTTCATCTCCACCACAATTTCCTTCTGTTAACATTTAGCATAATTCTGTGAAAATAGCTAACCTCTTTTCTTAACAAAAATCAAGGGAATAATTTGGCTTCTTAAAGACTGTCGGCGTTTGAATGCAGACCAACAATCTTCGATAGGAAGGTGTAGTGAGTGCAGCCGTTTTATTATATTTCATCCATTTCTATAACATTTCTTGAGTGTGTTTACTATCATTGACCTTAAGGTACAAGCTGTTGTGTTCAGCAGTGTGTTTTAACATTTAAGGTTCTGATTATAGCTAAAGCTTACTCAGGTTGTCATTGTGGCCATAGTTCAGTCTAAGTTTAGTCTATGTTAGTTTCTCCTGGTTTAAAACAAGCTCTGAGAAATCATTTCAAGAACTGGAGTGTCCTATTTGTGGAGATTTTGGCAGTCTACAGTTTAAACCAAAGTCCACAATGGTGCCTTAGGGTTTTTTTTCTTCTCGTAAATATCACTAACATCAATTTCCCTTCATATAATGCTCATTGTTTAGCTTAAATAGTTATGATTTTCCAAATGAATCCAATACTTAACACTAACTTTGGGTATTGCAAAACTACATTGTGAATGATATGGGGGGAAAAATGCCCACATTACATTTTTGGAAAAGCCTTTCACAGTCACTTTAATTAGATTTTATTGTGCACATTTTTAAGGAAACTGGTTTTAGCTTCTCTAAAGGAAGAATTGCTAATGGTACATGTGCAAATTGCCATGGGACATGAAGAGCATTGTGAGTTGGTAAATTTCATAGCCTCTCTCTATAATTTTCCCAATGCATGGATAACAGAACACAAATTTAATGGTTAACTTAACATGAATATATATAGATCATTTGAAGAAACCATAGTTCCAAGATTTAACCCATTCATGTATAGGGAGTTCACTCAAATCATGTGGAAAGGTCAGTATCCACACCCAGCACCTTCTCCCTGCAAGTTAACAGTGCTAACTACCGCCACCATATCCGAGAGAAAATCAATTAGAAATGAAAAAAAAATCCATCCTTGGTACAAAGATGATTTTTTTTTATAGCTTGTATGCTGTATAATCAATGCAACCTGCAAAAAATTATAGTTCAAATAAAATAATTTAGAAACCATAAATAAAATGCTCATTAACATTTATGAAAACTTCTCACCAGAGCGGACCATCACAGTGTGATATAACAAGGAAAAACCCAGGAGCGATTGGTTGAACAGAACCAAAGTGCACTGTAAACCAATGTTTTTGCAAAGGCTAAAAGATTCATCTTTAAAGGAGATTATTAAAAGGCAAACAATTATTTGCCATTATTAGATTTCAAAGAATTTTTTCACTTTTTCCCTTTTGTACATGGCAAAAAATATATATATAAATTTATAAAGATAAGCAACAAAGGGCCTTAAATAATTCATAGAATATTTTATTTTGTTTGTGAAACATTTTAGGTGTTGATATACTGAATTGTGTATAAAACTTAGGAACATTTGAAACAATTGCTGGGTATAAATATTTCCCTTTTACAAAATTCTTTATGCAACTTCTAGGTAGGACCGACATGCATCAACCAGTAGCAGGAGAAGCAGCAGTAATTCAGTGGTTGTTTGGGTGTTTGTAAAATCCCCTTACAAGAAATTGTGCTTTTTTTGGTCCCCAAAGGAGGCTTAGATTTAGGGTTCTTTGCCTGCACGTCGAAAATTAGAATAATGTCTTTACATAACCAAGAAGATGACAAAAATAACTGATTCCATAGCATAATATATAGAGAATTTTCAGCTGTTGCTTGTTATCTCTCTTAATTTAAAACCTCAAAAATATCTCATAAAATGATTAACTATTGTTTTGATTCAACTCTCTCAGTGTCTCAAAGACATCACTTACAGAAAACACGATGTGACTGTAGATCAGCACAGCAAAAGAAAAGAGTTGAGCAAAGGAAACAGAACTGCCCCATATCTGCAAGTAGGTGTAACATTTTAGAAGTTTCAAGCTTTTCTTTTGTAAACTATATTGTTAATCTTTATGACAAAGATGTTTTATTAATACTAACAGGAACAGGAACCAATAATTTCTCGCATTCAAAAATTAAAGAAATACAAGCAAGATTTTATTACCACATGCAAGCTGCTGTTAGACACATGAGCTAATTCAAATGACTGTTTAGACAGATTTCTTAATGGGAGTGAATGAAAGCATAAAAAGGCTGAGTTACAACACCTTCACATGAGAATATTAGGGTGAACTCATAGTGTACCTCCAGTGCTACCAGCTCCAGCCTAACTTTAAACTAACACAATTTGAACTGATGCATTATAGCAGTTAGGTGATCATTGTGATTATAAAATTCCCCCAAATTTTAAGAGTAGATATAGTTGTTGTACATGTGTGCTCTGAGTAACATACCTGTCTACAAAACCAATCTACACTATAGATTGATGCTCTTATGGAGAAATATTGCATGAGTCTGCACCTGGAGACAGAAGTCTTTTGTCTCCAATAACTGCAGTGTAAATAAATGGCCATTGATTAAGCATTGTCTGGTTACAGTCTTTGCTGGGTTTTTTGAGCTGATGTAGCCCTTCAGTCAGGCATTCCATCAACGAGCGGTGGCTCCTCAAGAGCAGCAGCTAAGCCATTGTTCTCACCCCTGTCACCTGAATCTCTTTCCTCCATCTTTTCATCCTGATTTAGTTGATTCAGTTCTGAAAGGCAGTCCAGGGGGTCAAAGGTCGGCGATGTGGGTTTAGGGCTTAGAAGTGGGAGCTGAGGCAAAAGTGGCTCGTCCCGAAGCTTGGTGGCTAACTCCTTGGCGCTGCATGTGGGAGTGTTGGTTTCGTAGACATCATGGAAGTTGTTGTAGTCTACTTCATAGAAGCCCTTCTCCAGAGATAAAACAGGTGTGAAGCGGTAGCCCCACAGCACCTCGGTGTCCAGGTAGGAGCTCCGAGCCTGACACGTCATGCCTGTCACAGATATGAAAGAGAATGGGTGTTTGTGTTTACATGCACAAATTAATTACACAGCATATAAACATTTTAACAAAGAAAATAACAACCAAACACGAAGTGGACAAGAAAAACAAATATAAACACACACAAAAAAGGGAAGAGAAGAGGTACCAAATTAGTTCATTCATCACATTTTTAGAGGAATGGTGACAAAATAAATACCAAGACTTGCTGTGGATTTCTCATTAAAGCTTTTGCCTGGTAAAATATCAGTATAAATAATTCAAAGCATTGTGCTTTCATTGAAGAGACTAAAAACTAGAATGCATTGTGAATATAAAAAAATTAAACATGTTACTTACAATTTAAGAACAAGTCTATTATTGGCTTCCTTTCATTAACACTGAGGTTTTTATAAAAAAGTTGCTTGGTACGTTTATTGTAAAGGAGACGATTGCAACCAATCAAATTAGTTCATTTGAACTCTTTTTATAAATGTAAAACCTTATTTTAATGTAATTTTGAGGAGGAAAGTCAACTCATGATGGCCGAATTTAATTGTTTTTACCTTTTACCAACCTTTCTGGAATCTTAGATTTACTGTAGCCAAGTGATGTTCTTACTAAGGTCTTTATCACCCCTTAAATTAAATCTCAAAGTTAATATTGTCTCAATTTCAATATTGAAAGTAAAGTGTGGTTATAATTATTTAGATTAGGGTTAAAAAAATAAATAATTGGATAACGTTTTAAAAAGTGTTCACTATACTTTATATACCCATACCCATGCGTACTGTACGTATAGGAGTACACAGAATGGAGCCATACATAACCCATGCAGGTAAATCTCAAAATAGTATGGAAGAAATTATATCTACCTGTGATATTTATGACACTCGGAAATATACTGCATAACTTATGGTTTAAATAGATATAATTTTCATGATGATGCAGATTGGTGAAACAACTATAAACGCTAAATGCATGTTGAGTCATATATACAACATGTCTTCAGCATGACATGTTCTTTTCTCGGGTCAGTGAGTTAATGCTGCAGAAAGATATAAAACACATGCATAATATTTGTCAGGATTCCGGTGTTAAATTAGGTGAAGTGTTCTGTAACATTTTATCAAAGTGGGCGAAACATCAGATGGATATATAAACATACAGGTGGTTTCAAGCTTCATGCAGAACCTCAGTAGACACACTGTGGACATTTTTTGAAGTTTCAAAACAGCCTGGCCTGTCAGAAACCATTTTAAGTTTTTATTTTACTAAAGAACACCTGGTTGTTTGTTTTCTTCTCATTACACAAACTTATAAACTATCATTAAATACAATGTTTTAAGTTTCTTTAACTTTCCTTTTCTTCATAAGATTTTGTAATAAATTAAAATTTCTCCTTCCAAAAATGATATGATAATATACATAGTTAAATTATTAGTTTAAATGCATTCAGTTGAATGAGGTTTTGTTAAACACAAAGGATAATGAGCTCAGAAAGCACCATTTACTCAGCTATGGTCAATTTCTCTTATTTCAAACAGTTTGCATCGGCTACCAAATCTTTAAACATATGATAAAAATATTGGTGATTTTGGAAAGAAAGATCTCTGCCTATGAAAAACGAAGGAAAATATAGTTTTATTTTAGATAAACAAGTTGTCTGATCTTGAACATGTGTATTTGGTAATGTTGTCACAAATTGAACTAATATAATAGCACCATACTTTGGGATAACCAAAAACATCCACCATGTTCCTCTGAATGTGCTGTTAACACTTTGATATTAAAAAGTGCGCTCAGTGCATGCAGACAAACTGAGATTGTGCTGTTGTAATTCTTATAAAGAATGTGTTTTTTGCATGCCTTTCTCTTGTGTAGTGATACTTACTGTAGCAGTGAAAGCAGCTGTTTAGGGGCTGCAGAGGCCATAGTTATTTCTATCTATGATCCAATCACAATTTGCCCCTAATATGGCTCATATCTGTATTGTGTTGCAAAACTCTCAAAAACTGTTTGCTAAAAAGGATTTTGATCTGTAATGAGTAATGCTGGAGATAATAGAAAGAAGTAACCAAACAGCACATTGCAACCTACAGAATTGTTTCTATATTTGTAAAATAAAAGAAGAGCTATTTTTCGCTTACTTACATTTACAAATAAAAATCTAAAACTGCGCTGTGCATTTGTTATCCTGCCTAAGAAAGTGAATATTTTACAGAATTGTCTTTAGCTAAGGTGAGAGCCTCAAGTCTTTTAAGGGATGTCAGATTTGGACAGCTTGAAATCTAGATCTTATTATGAATATTTGCTTTACTTTATTGAAAATGTGATAAAAAATGTAGTCATTTTACTACAATTTTAAAGGCTTATGAATGTCATTAGTACTGCATAGAACAACATGCTACAGCTGGAGTTACTGCAGCAGGGGCTGATCTTTAATTTCTCTGCAGTACACCTGTGCTCTGTCCTAAAAAAATCTGACATACCCCTCCAGCAATTGTTCACAGTTTGGAAAAAAAGGACAAAGTTAACATATTAAATATGTTACAGAAACATAACGGCTGATTGCATTACTGTTGTAATGTCATCCACGTTGTCTAATTAGCTTTTTGGATATACAAAACTCAGTTTTACCACCCTTAATGTTATGGATTAAGCTGGAAATATTGGTTTTCCATTTCAGGTTAGTTTATTTCTATTCATGCTGCTCAATCTCAGAAACAAATCTATCTTACTTTGCTATTTTGTTTTTATAGGATAAGAAGCAATTGATTTATCTAAGCCAAATGACAAAATAAAACCAACTCTGATATTAAAAGACATAGGACCCCAAAGAAATCCAATTCTGAGTTATTTTCCTGGAAAGATGGCAAAGTACAATAACTTTAAAAAAAGAAAAAGAATAGAAAACACAGTCCACTGTTTTCACAACAATAGAATGGATTCTTGGAAATTGTATCATTCTCGTCTTATTCTCTAAATAGATAATTTTCAAGCGCCACAACACTAAAACCTTTATCTAAAGTATAGAATCATCATATAATGAATGGGAAGTTAAAAGAACTTTAAAATTCAACTTTAAAGATGACAAATAGATTTTCATTTAAGTTCTACCATATGTACCATACCTGGCTGGTTAAAATAGGGAAAAGCATTGGATTAGGTTCAATGCTGCACTGGATGTTTATGAACACTTTTGGAGCTTTTTGTTTTTCACTAGATTTAATAAATTTCTACCTTAATGAAATGAATATGAGAGTGAGCAATATAGCCAGAACACAATAAGATACTGTTTAGAAAGGAATGTTTTGCTTTGGAAATAAAGTAAACTATGTAGCTCTCTAAATCTAAACATTTGCTGCAAAAAACAAAACAAAAACCAACTATATCAAAATAAATGGTCAGTGTAGGTTTTACGGATCCTTTAGACGTGTAGGAAATGTGTTGATTCAAGGCCTGTGTGTATATAAATTTGATTTACACGTGAAGAGTCATTTTTCATCTGATAAAAATGTTTTCTAAAAAATATTTGATGTCTTGCTTTCTATTAGTCAATCACTGAGATGTTAGATAATAAAAGAAACAACAGTTTTGTTTATTTTTAACCACTGATCTTAATATCCTTCAAGATCATAGCAAAATTGGCCTTTACTGTATATATTTTTCCTAACATATTTGCCTTATTTTAAACCACATCCCTGCTTTTGCAAGCTTTTCAGTTAATAACATTTTTATCTCATTGAAGTAAAAAACTTTTTAATTAGTTTATTCAGGTCATGTTGCTTTAAAAAATATACGATCTGCGTAAAAGCAAGTATTTCACAAACCAAACACTAACTTACTGACATTATCTGCAACGAATAGATCATTTGTTTCCACTGCCATGTATTTGTGTTTATTAGTTCTAGTCGCTTCATTCACTTCAGGTGGGTCTAAATGAATGTTTGTAGATAGGCCTATTAAAAAACAGAGTTGCTTGTGATGCAAAACTGCTTCAAATGTGTTTTTCATAGTTTTCCCCCCAAATATAAGGATTTTGGGCCCAGAGCTCAATGTTATAGTTGTGCTAACTACTAAAACAACATGCAATAGTGGCATGTTTGTCATTAGCTAAATAATTAAAGTTGGACAGCCATTAAGTACATATATATCGATATATGTATATAGTGTGGGTGTCTGTTTAAGTGTGCTATGATGGAAATGTTCAGATGGAAAAATCCTTCATAGTAAGTGAGTTCATAACTTTCTGGCTTATGCTCTATTTACTAAGTTCTATGTACCAGTGGAAAATCAAGGTAGTGAGCAGAGGAATTTGTGTTTGTCTGTTGGCTTGCATTCAAAGACAGCAATGGCGTTTCCTCAGCGTGATGCCACGGCGATGTGAAACGTCAGAGCATACCTGATCTGAGCAGAGCTGATTACATCTTGTGACAGTAATATTCTGCTGTAGACACAAAGCACCGAGTAAAAATTCCCATTACACTAACAGCTGGATAAGGAGAAAACAAAGTAAACTGAACTTAATTCAGTCTGAATATTGAAGGGAATAAAGAGTCTCCATTTCATTTAAGAGTCTGTGGGAATGTATATATCCCAGTAGAAAATAAATCTGTATCTTTATACATATTGAAATTCCTAAAGATATAAATAAAAAAAAGAAGCAGAAGGAAAATGAAGAACCAGATACAGAACAACCTGGAAAGTCATCTTATAAGGTTTTGAGATTTTTTTTTATGTTGATAAATGAGTAATATTTAGTTAATAAAAAAAAAACATTTCTTACACTAGTTTGTAAAATATTTTCTCATTAAACAGTCACAAACCAGGTTGTTGTTATCCTGTGCAGCTTATTTTAATTTCCACTTAGCTCCCTTTTCACCTGTGCTACAGCATTTTTCCTTTCATAGACAAGTCTTGGTTTCAACGTTAATGGAGCTGCCTTCCAAACAGCCAATTATACTGTTTAAAAATGTTTTATATAATTTACACTAACATTAACAGTCATGT